GCCACAGCCTAAATAACCTGGGAAACTTTCTGGTTTTCAAATTACATAAAAAAAAACAATTCTAGTGCACGGTCTCATAGATATACAACATTCATGCAAAAACTACTAGGACAATTTTATTGGTGGGTATGATTTGAAGAATTGTGCGTTCCAAACGTCCGCGAGCGACGCGGAGCAGCAGAGTCGAGAGCAGAGTATTTGGTAGTAATAACTGATACTGAACGTGATGTTTGGGATTATTGTCTATAAGTGTAATCCACTTTCATGTAAAACATGTTAGACATAAAATGTGAGTTTTTCAACAAGTTTTAATGTAACGGGTAAACGTTGATTAGCATGAGTATTCAACAAAACCATGGGTCTAGAAAAAGACTCGTTACCGCCACGACAAAACTAAAACGCTGAACTACTAATACTGACTACATGTGTCCGTTTACACGGCATCATGACAGACATATACTGCGAGCTTATGAAACACATCTACAGTCTAGTTTAAGTTAACACTTACATCTTATTCCACGTTTGAATTTATTCATGCAGCCAGTTCGCGGCTCTTCCAATTTCGCTTTTGTCTGTGCATCCATGACCCTCATAGTTCCATCAACGTAAACTTCGTTCTCCATGGCGGTTGGGGCATGGTCATCATCGTCAGGGTACATGTCATTTCCATAGTTGTCCAGAGGCCCGTCATCCATATCCATGCCTTCATTTTCATGCCAAGCGTGCCTAGATTGGGCACTACTAGGCCGATTGGTCGATCGTCTGCCCAGTTCTTCTTGCACAATGCGGTCCATTTCCATCTCGTCGTGAATTGACAGCCCAGCTGCACTGGTCGGACGATTAGTTGGGCTAACGCGCGTTTGGCTCATTTCTCTGAGCTAAAACTCGCCCAAAATATTCCGTGAGTGGTATTTCCAACAAAATGATCAAAATTGAAGTGCTAAAACCCAATAAATGACAGTTAGTGAACAAAAACTGAGCACTTGTTGTTAAACAACACACAGCAGTTTTCGTACGCGGCTCAGTATGGTGAAATTCACAACACAGCATTCGACAGGACGGTGACGTCACGTAATTACTTGCGAAACGTTGGGAGAATTCAAAAAGTAATCAGACAGCCTAGTCAGTCGGGAACCAATAAATGTTCCTAGAAAAAGTGTTTCATCGTGAAAATTCCGTTAAATTGAAGAAATTACTGTCAATTAAAAGCGCAGCATGAACAGTTGCTCCAAAAGGCTCCAGTATTAGCCTCACCCATGGCACTTAAACGCAGCACGTAGTCGCCATGGTGACGTTGGCAGAAACAGTTGCCTAGGAGACAGCTTCCGGAGTGTATCGGCCATCACGATCCATCATCCCTGAGAAAAGGCATTTTAAAAACAACTGAACGTATTTTATAAAAAAAATCCTCTCATGGTGTAAATACACAATAATGCTAATATATGTATGTTTTGGATGAATATGTTACCATCTAGTAATAGTAATAGTAACTGTTTGTCAACAAGCAACGTATTATAACTCAATTATCGATAATAAAATTGAGAATGATATGAATATAAAGTAAATAGGAAGTGAATGTCTGTCGCATACAAAAATATTTCAAAAAATAACTTATTAATTAGTTCAGCGCAAAGTGGTCCCCTGGCCTCATCCAGCTAGTCGAGCCTAGCAAATTACTTTCAGTTAGATGAATTATTTATAGTTCTCATCCGTGTCTTTATTGTGGTCGTAATTAGCGGGTTTATGGGGACATCGTGGCGTAAATCGCATGAATAATATTGAAGCTGAAGCAGGCCGTGCTAAAGAGAAGGCCTCCAAATGACCTAGCCAGACTGGGACGACTTTGAAGGGCACCGACAGGAAGACAATACAGGTGGAAGTTTCTAAGTGCAATGCTTCATAATATTCCAGCTTTCAGCAAGCTTCAACAGATCAGCTGACAGTACCGTCTTGTAATTTCATATCTGTAATAGGTGATCTAGATTTGGTAACATCACTCTGGGACAACTCCGCAAAACAACAACAACATCAACACTAACACATGAATGCGTGGAAAAGTTATATGGAAACTGGGAGGGTTGTGAATGAAATCCCTTCCCATCCATCCAAGATCATTAATTGAATTCCATAGGCTAAGAAGAAGAAACTGATAAAAAGGCGATATGCACTTATCGTAAAAGACACCCCCACCCCCCAAAATTTGCCACATAAATATGTTGGTTTGGTTTGTACGCATGTTGTTCTTAAATGACAGTGGAATGGTAATAATGGTTTGGTTTGTACGTAAAGCCATGCTGTCATGCTTATAAGACGACAGTGGAATACTAGTAGTATAATGCCACATGACATGTTCGTTGTTACCTTGTGTATTTCACTGATACATTGTAGTGGGTTAGTATGTTGCCAACCACATAAACACGCTGATTCTTACTAGATAGCAGTGGAATGGTATAATGCTACAGAATACTTAGTACGTTTGTACGCATGCCAATTTCACTACTCGGCGATGGTCTAAGCGCCAATATAAAGGGCGGTGGTCGTCGCGCAGAGCGTGTTCGAATTTCATGTAAATAAACAATGTATTTTGCGCGCGTTGTATACGTCGCTATGAGTCCCATGTCGAACAGGACGCGGAGCGACGACCGCCGCCCTTTAAACATGGATAAGTAAAATGGGGTAGCCTCATACCCGCGCGCTACATAAATTACAGAAAGACTTCCCCCTAGTTACAAACAGATAATAATTCAAGACTCTTTTTTTATATTTTGTTATACATGAAATATACAAGTGACATCCATCATCACTGGAAGCCATTTCATTGGAAAGTAAATCGATAATAGACTCGGAGAAATGAGTTATGAAATTATGTTACAAGTAGAGATATATTTGCATCATAATGTGGACATTATTTGACATCAAAATAACGTCATGAAGTGAATTGCTATGATCTGGACTTAAATATTTCTTTAGAATGATATATATATGTACAGAAGTTTATTTTGTTATTATGAGCAATATATATCACACTACTTTTATTCTTTCTCTATTTCATTCTTTCTTTCTTACCGAGAGCAATGTAGCGGCCCAGGCAAAATATTAAGACGTAGACATAAAAAATCAGAACAAAATTTAATTAATAATTAACAGTTAATGTTTCTCGTGGAATTAACTTGTTCCATTCAATTGCCATTGAACATGTAAAACAGTGGTCGTACTTGGTAGCAATACATTCTATTGCCGGGAAACATGCCATACATCGTGTTGTTATTGAGTACAATAAGGTTATCATGGTGGTTTTCTCTATTCGAGGGGTCGGGATCGTAGAGGACTTAGAGCCGTAGAATAGATACACGGTTCCGACTGGGCATCGTTGTTCATGGTAATTTGCTCATTTTTATTGATACTCTATTTAACGAGGGTATATATAGTTACCATCGTGTCATTGTTATTATAACCCTTCAATTCCGTATTTGAGGTGGAAATACGAACAATGCAATAGTTAACCGTAAGGGTCAGTGATCAATGGGACTTCATGTAATGATTTTGTAGAGTCAGCTTGTTGACGCTGGTCGGTCTTCAAGGAAAAAGAAAATTGTATGTGACCGTAGAAGCATGGAGGTAAAATACATGGTAACGAGGCACAAAGTAACACTGTGGCCCCTGCTTCCCTCCGCTATTACGCGTATTTTGTTTATAAAATGTGATTTTAAGTTTACTAAATCCCATAACTGTAGCAAGATGTTTTTCAAGGTCACTATGTTAATTTAAGATTTTCTGTTGCGTTAATGACACGCCAGTGAATTAGCATTACTAGTTGTGTCACATCAAATCTTTGTGTCTCAATGACCCATCATTGCGTATTTCCTCTGACTGGTGTGAACTTTGATTAAATATTAAAGGGCGGTGGTCGTCTCGCTGCGTATGTGCGAGATTTGTGTTGATTTTCTCATAATATAATGTGCTCTTCTAATGGATATCACAAGTATGAGGTTTGACCTTGGCGCGACTTGCACCAATTACCGCCGATGACTTCTTCAATACCTCCAAATAACCTAAAAAATACCTATTTAAAGCATGGTAACGTCTCAGTTCGTACTCGTTGATCTGCACAACAGCCACAGTTTGTTTACAATGAGAGCCATACATCTCGCGCACGCGTGGCGCGACGACTACCGCCCTTTAACCTTTTTTTCATCAACAAGTCAAATGTGTGTTCCGTGGATGTCTTTGGTGGATATAAATGTTTTGGCGACCAAGTTTGTTTAAAACTTTGTATGCCATATCAACAATCCGCAAATAATCCGTGCGGTAATCCAGGGGTAGCCAATCAAACGCTTGAAAACGGGGGCTGTGGACGTCATTGTATCAGCCCAAAACACAACCCTCCCGGCCCTTCTTGAAGTTTATAAATACGCTTAGTAAGTTTAGGAATTTTAAAAATGATTCCTAGAGGTGTTAAGATACCCAACACTATTAATGAATAATACAATAATAATAATAACATTAAAACTACCAAGAGGAAAAGATGATGTTCAGACATGCTTTCGGGAAAAAGGAAATTATTATGTTAATTTCTGTTTTATTTATTTCTTCTGTGCATGAAATGCACATGTTCCATATCGACTACCAACAATGACGATTGAACGACGCTAATAGAATCATCATGGTCTTCTGAATATATCTTTGCAAAGAACCACGAGATCTTGTTGAAAGTAAGAGAGTCACGATACTTGTATTACCCCCCTTTACCCGAGTGATTAATTCATTACCGTCATCGCGTCTACTGTTCGCTATGTAACCATGGTGTTTCGAAAGGTGGCAGCGAATGGAATACTTGGGGGGGAGGGGCAACAACAACTCGCATGGCGCTCTCGCTCGTAGCGAGATGCTAACAGCCATTTGCGAATAAAGGACTATTAAAGCGAGAGAGTCGTCATCTGCGCATGCGTCTGACGGCCATAGCGTGTCGTTATTTACAAGCACGCGTCTACCCACGAGCCTTTGCGTTTTTAGCATGCGTTGTTATCGTCGCATGGGACTCAACGACGACTCTCCGCTTTAATCTTTACCTTCCCAATAACATCAAGTGAGTAATATATATATAATTTATATAAATTTACGCAAAGACAGGATGATCAAAACACATACCTATTAACATTACGTTGGTGATTTAATGATAATGGTAGCAAAATAATAACGAAAACCATTTACAGTTTTATTTGATCAACTAACGTTCTATTTCGGGATAATATATGCTGAATTGTGTGCAAGCTTATAGTAAATGTTATTTCACCGAAAAGCTTCTAAACATTGTGAAAATAACTTCATTATATTCATGTCTTTGTTGTGAGTTGTCCATTTTTATGAAATCTATTATTAATAAAAACATTGATCATAAAACATTTTGCCATTTATATAGCAAAATACAAAATGCTGATTATTAGAAATATTGACTGAGAGGTATTATTTTCAATATTCGTAGACTGATTGCTGTTATGTTTACGTCTAACGCCGAGGTTTGCATTTACAGACCCAATTAATCTGGCCGGTTGCGATAACAACTTATATGATTAGTGATAAACTACGTTTAGATTTGAGAATGAAATATAGATCGATAATTTAATCAATA